TATGTCGATGACATAAATATAATTGACACACGAGAGGAGCTTGATAAAGCTAGCTCATGCCTAAAGATGGAGTTTGAAATGAAAGATTTGGGTAAAACCAAATATTGTCTCAGTCTGTAGATCGAGCATCTCCCTGAAGGAATATTTGTACACCAGTCAACCTACTGGAAGAAAGTTTTAGAAAAATTCTACATGGATAAATCTCATCCACTTAGCACACCAATGGTTGTCCGATCCCTTGAAGCGGATAAGAATCCATTTAGACCTAAAGAAGATACCGAAGAAACTTTAGGACCAGAAGTTCCTTATTTGAACGCCATTGGCGCGTTACTTTATCTTGCAAATTGCACCAGACATGATATTGCATTTGCAGTAAACTTGCTAGCAAGGTTTAGTGCTTCTCCTACGAGGAGACACTGGAATGGTATTAAACATATTTGTAGGTATCTTCAAGGTTCACAAGATCTTCGTTTACTTTATAAGAAAAATCAAGATATGACATTGGTGGGCTATTCGGATGCTGGTTATATGTCTGATCCCCATAATGGTAGATCACAAACTGGTTATGTTTTTCTTTGTGGTGGTACTGCAATTTCTTGGAAATCGGTAAAGCAGTCCATGGTTACTACATTTTCAAACCATTCTGAAATAATTGCTTTATACGAGACTTCACGCGAATGTGTATGGTTAAGATCTTTAATCCAACATATTCGTGGATCATGTGGAATTACGAATGATATAACCCCCACTGTCCTTTATGAGGACAATGCAGCTTGTGTTTTACAAATGAGTAGTGGGTATGTCAAAGGAAGCATGACAAAACATATTGCTCCAAAATTCTTTTACCGACACGAGCTCCAGAAGAGCGGTGAGATTATTGTACAAAAAGTAAGGTCTAGCGAGAACTTGGCATACCTATTCACCAAATCCCTTCCTACATCTACTTTTGAAAAATACATTTATGGTATTGGTATGCGTAAACTGGGAAGACTGTTGTCTTCAGGGGGAGGGAAAAACTCAATATAATTCCGAAGATTAGGTCCTGAAGACCAAATGTTGTAATCTTTTTTATTTAACTAAGTTTTTCCCAATGGGTTTATTAGTTAAAGGTTTTAACGAGGCAGCTAGTATAACACATGAATTTTTATAAATCGTGTACTCTTTTTCCCTTGACTAATTTTTTTCCCTGTCGGGTTTTTATTAGCAAGGTTTTTAATGAGGCATGTAGTAATGTCCAAGGGGGAGTGTTATAAATATATTAATATGAACATTACTAATATATAATTGGGCCTGAAGTCCATTAGTTAGGAGAATTAGGTTTTAGGGTTTCTCCCTTGTAATCTCTATAAAAAGAGTGAATACCGATGAATAAGATATACACTTTTCTGCTTCTCTTTTCTTGTTCTTTTACTGCACCTCTTTTATGCATGGATTGATAGATGTTTGTTGAAGATTAAGAGTTCCAATTTACAACACATACAATATTACTACTTTTGTTTTAGTTATAATCCTTTTGTGGACGCTTTTAGGTTTTAAAAAATTTGGCATTTTTTTAATTAAATTCTAATTTTTGTAAGTGATTTTACAATTTTGCTATGAAACCAACAGTTGGTTCTATAGTAGAGTCAACCTCTTATATACAATAAGTAAATCATACTTTATTCTCTGATTACTTAAATAAATATAAATAAATACTAATAATTTTATTGATATGGTAGGATTATTTGTTGTATGGAGAATATTAGCTCAACTATGGAGCGAATGGTTGGCTTCGCATCAAAACATCTTTTGATAAAATCTTACAGTTTATTGCAAAAAATGTGTCTCAACCTTCCATCTTCTTCCTTCTTTCTTCTTCTTCTTCGTCAGTTTTTATTTTTCTTTCCTTAAATTTTTTTTTTCTTTGATTTCAAGGGTTACAACTCATGTTGCAGATAAAAAAAATTCGGGTGTCATGAATAAATCAAAAAAAATAAAAGATTCTGTCAAAGCCAGTCCGACAAGGCGTGATCTTAAAAAATTTAAAGTTCAAGAGAAAGGAAAAAAATAATACTGAAATTTCTTCGTCAGATTCTATTTCTGATTCGGTTTATACTGAAGAATCAAGTGGTTCCGAGGATTATGTATCAGAAGACGATAATGTTTCTTAATTAGGGTTTTTAAGAACCTTAAAAAATCGAAGAAGAATGCGCGTGGTTCTCGTTTTGAGAGTGATTTCAAGAAGAACGACTTAAAACGTCCGAAAACTTATG